TCAGTATACTTACAAAAAATTAAATATAAATAAAAACGAGCTTCAAAGAATATAAACTTGGTTTTTTATGAAAAACCAAATATATTTTCATATTTAAAGTGCAACTGCGTTGAAATCCAATTTGACTTTTAACCCGCAAACAATTGGACACAAACGACTTGTGTTTCAAGGCTCTCGAGTAACCAAAGACTTGAGGTAATTGAGCCGCAGCATTCCAAAGCTGATTAATACAATAACAAGAGCATTTTCCATTATGCATGTATGTCTAAGCATTGTTTTGTTGTAGTTATGAGACAAGGATCTGCGTCATTGTTCAGAGTCGAGTGGTTGGTGTCCTTGGATTATCTTGCAACTGCGGGTAATCAATATTCTCCAGAGAAATAATACATTTACGCCTTAAATGAACAATTGCTTTAATAAATACACTAAGAGGGTTATTTCCTTGGTAGTTTCGATTGCAGACTTAAAGAAGCTTAAATCGTTTCTCTACATGTTTCAAAGTAATAACATATAAAGTGTTAGTACTTGCAAAGGATTGAATTTCAAAGTTAATTTTAAGCTTTAGTCAATATTACCCAGCGGTGAAATAATATGTCTTACTACTTGCATTCACGTTTAAATAAATGATTCATGGTTGCACTTTGCGTGTGAAACACCATTACAATTTTTCCCCAGTTGACAATTAGCATACTGCATTTATTTTCTTATCAACTGCTTAATATGACTAAACCTTGTGGAATAAAGTGAAACTGCACATATTTTCATGAGAATCACGGCGCAGAGTAAACAAGTTAAAGTCACGTAACTCAAGACTTTGCTCTGCTTATCAAAATGCTCTTAGATCTCGTTCGAGATTTATTGACAGCGGCACCGGAAATGCGAAATGGGAAATGGGTAAGGCACATGTTCCCCGTGCTCCGCCTTGCTTTTATTTACGCGCAATTAACCCAGTTACAAGTTCGACATGCGGCTTCGGCAAACGGCCCCCACACTCGTGTGTATCCTGCATTTATCATAATTACTTCCCCACAAATTTACCGCCAAAAAAAGGTAAAACGCAAACACAAAAAAAAAAAAAAAAATGAGAACGTTGATGATGATGATGATGAAAGTTGATGAATGCCCTGGGCTTTCGCGAAATTCTGCAGCTTCGGTTAATGTTTTAATATGCCTCTGGCAACTATTAAGAACACTTGAAAAGCTGAACGTTAAATACCAGGCGCATATTAAACATTAATTATTTACGCCGAAGCGTAAAAGGTTTCGCGCTGAATTAAAGTCTTTCGCAAAGCATAGCATACATTTGGGGGCGCCTCCTTTTCTTTTTGCACATTCGTGTCCTGTGCATGTGCACATTGTATGCAAATACTCAAACATCGAAATGTGCTTAGCAATTATTTTAAAAATGCAAACAACCCGGACAAAAAGGAACAACTACTACAATTGCAATTTCAGTTGAGCATCAGAGCAAAAACGACGTTGCAAAACATACACCCACAATCAAGTTTACACAGAAAAATAAATTAAATCAGATTGCAAATAAGAGTTTAATATTATGTATGGTTTTGTATAATTGTTTTAATTTGTATTAATTCATCTACAGATAGTAGAAATAATAACACAAAATGGAAAATTTAAATTTGTATTTGCTATGTTGTTGTGATATTGTTTTTCGCTGTGCATTTAGATGCCGGCAGATAGAACATGCAACATGCAAACTGCCTAGGCTCGAGTGCCATAAAAACTGGAGTGAACAATATACAAAACTTATTTTCAAATCAAACAGAGGCACAAGCAAAATCCAAAGTCCGTTGAGGGCAGGGGGCGAAAGGGCGGAGGGCGGGGCAGTGACAACAGCGAAACATTTACAACAAAGTGCCAGCTGCTGGAAGTAGACAAAAAAGGAGAACTGGAATGCCGTACAGTGGGATTGGACTTCGACTAAATGTAGATGATTTTGAAGATTTTCAAAATGTAAAATTAAATTTATAAAGTTGTTATTCTAAAGATTCCTATTATATTTAAAATTTAGTGAGCCTTAACTTTCTGAATTTGTGATCTGTACATATTCTAAGTCCCTCAAAACTTAAAAATATAAAAAATAAAAACTTCAAATCAAGAGTTAAATTAGGCCTAAACAACTAGATTAGGTGATTCAAATGAAGGTCATACATATCCTTTAAAAAAAGCTTGAACTTTTATTCTTTCATTTCAGTAAGAGGTATGGCTATATTCACCATATTATTCCACATTTTTATTTTAGTTCTAAATAATTGTAAAATTCCTTAAAATTGTTTATTTTTAATCGAAAACTCCATCGATTTCACTCTTTTATGCCACGGTCCATCTATGCACTCTCGACTGGCTGCCAGGCGAAAACCAGAGTCAGACTAACAAATTCCAAAAAAATGTCACATTGCGCACATGAAAAATGTCCTTGTGACAAGCGCCAACGCCAAGCGGCGGCAACTGTGGTTGTGTCCTTTGTCTGTGTGCGTGCGTGTGTGTGTATGTGTGGTCCTTGGATAAGTGTATGTGTGTGTTTGTGCTGGCTGTGCCTCAGCAAGGTCATGAGTAAATACGTTTGGAGCATGCTGTTTTTGCCGTTTATTCTCTAACAAAGCCAAGGCAGCAACAAGAACAAAAAGAAAAATAAATAAAATAAAATAAAATCCAAAAAATAAAATACAAAAAGCGAAAGAAACAAAGCAGATTGAAAGAGGAAGAGGGAGGGAGCAAAATAACAGCAAAGAAATTTATTGTCATATCTATATAATATACAAGGAAGCTTCTGCTGATGCTTCTTATTGATATTTATACAAAATACATTACATGCACACAAACATATGTTTTCTATTGCTGCGCGCGTGTGTGTGTGTATGTGTTAGCCTCATTTGTAATGGCGTCTGCTTGCCAATTTGTTGTGTGGCAGAAAGAAATGCAAATGTGTATCGGTAAATCAAAAAGGACATTATTGGCTGCTTGTTAGACGTAAGCACAATTGCCAGCCATTACGTATGTAGGTGTCTCTGTGTGTGTGTGTGTTAGTTGCTCTGCATGTGTGCGTGTTTGGTATGTCCTGTTTGTGTTTGTGTTTGCCAATGGTCGACCGCTAAGTGCGCTTAAGCGTCAAACTAAATTGGCCGGCGCTTTGTTCTTCAGCGCTTAGCTGAAAGTGCACTTTACCTTTCCTCCGCCCCCTTTTCCATCATTTCCCACCCACCCAACACTCACACAACTTTACAACTCACACAAATGCAGAAAAAAAAAACACTCACACACGCTTACGAGTATTTGAGTACTCGAAACTTATTTGCTATTCACACTCGATTAATCGACAACGTTTCGTTTATGGCTTTGATGCAACTTTTATTGGCATAATCGATGGGGAAGTTTTTTAATTGAATTTCATCGGTCGGTGGAAAGTTAAGAAACTTCCCTTCGGTTGTTGTTTGAATTCCATTTGTGAGCTGGACAGTTTTCCATTTATTATTTACTTAAAATGGTTCGGCTTAAGGTTTGAAATTTTCTTTGTTTCTGGTTTGCTTTTTTTTTGTGAATAACAATTTAATCAGAACTTAGTTTATATGGGTTATAAATCTCTGAAATATTATTTAGTCATCAACTATTGAATATAGGACCATAAATGGTTGAATGTGAACAAAAAAGAGAATAAAGTTTCCAAATATGTACTTTTTACCACTCTAAAGAAAGTAAAGGAATGTTTATAACTCATTTCTTTTCATTTTGGGTTAGATGACTAAAATGATGTACAGATCCATTAAGTCAAGCTTTCATACCACTACCATTAAGTACTTATCGGTCATCAATTGTTAGTAAAATGTATGCTTGTGTAGCTCAATTTTGGTTTTTGGTCCGGCAAAATTGCAAATATTTTTGCTGCAGATTGGCCATCGTGTGTGCACGTCATGCCAGGGCTATTGCCGTTGGCTAAGTGAGTGGCAATGTGTGAGCACGGCAATTTTCAACTATTTATGAGTGCCGGGTTACCCCGCATCCCCTGAACGACGTGAAAATGTGCGGATGGAGGAGCTCCTCCTCCTCCGGGAGTGAGGCACATGGAGGAGCTACTGCCTTTGTGCCAACCTGTTTTTGTTTTGCCAACCAAAGTTGGCACATAAATAATGAAGCACGGGGCATAAGTTCCCATTGATTTCGCAGTGTGTGCAAATGAGTGTTGTATGTCCATGTGTGTGTTTGTGAGTGTGTGTATGTGTGTGTTTCCAGCCTGAATGGCAACGGGGTGTATACCATATGACTCTAGAGATTAAGCCATTGTTTGCACTGAATGTGGCGCTCAGTCTGAGTTGCGGCTTAGCGGCCTGCGTACGCAAACAAAAGTTGTTCGAGGGATTGCAGATTGGATGGAGGAGCGGGTGTTTTAACCCAATTCCGGATGAGCACTACCTGTTATGAGAGCCAGGGTCTATTAGGCCTTTACAAAAACATGAAAGGACGGCTTAAATTGAACATTAAAGTGTTGTACATGGTTCACTATACTCTTTTTAAGTGATTATATACAGTTTAAAGTATTATTGAAACTTTTTTTTTAAATTGGGTTGAAAGAATTTAAAAAGTAATTAAAGTGGAAAAAACTCTTTTAACTGTTGAAAATTTATGTATCGAAGCCGCAAGTCGCAGTGTAAAAAATACATTTGTATTCATATTTAAAAAAAAAAAATGTTTTCCGGATTAAAGTACCACTATATTTTCTACTAAAAGTTAGTTTAAAACAGTTTGTTTTTTATGCTTAAAATAGGGATGAAAAAAAGTATTTAAAAGTAGACTTTTTTAATGGATTGTTTTGCAAACACATTTTGTAAAACGGTAATAGTTGTAAAATTATTTTGGTTTGTGTTTGCATTTAAGCATATAACTATCTTTCATTACTGAAGTTTCCTCTTTAATTAATGATATCTTAAGCAACCTTTCAATACTGTATTCTTTTCATTAATTAATGGTTAAATCTCTTCTTGCAGCTCCAGCAGTGTAATGCGCCTTGGGGGCAGTGGCATTCCATACGACGGCGACCCCCTGACAATGAGCGCAGCTGGCAACGACTATGCCGAACTCTGTGATCTTGGACCCTCGCGATGGAGTGCCCGACCCTATGGCTACAATGCAACGGCAGCGGCAGCGGCCGGTTTCGGTTTGGGTCCGACGTTGGGCGGTACGCAGTCGTCGTCGAGCGTGCCGACGGGCGGATCGGCGGGCCTCAGCGGTCATCACCTGCGCGGTAGTGGAGCTCCCGTTCCGAGCAGCTTCGAGGCGGAGGACATCGGTTTGGCCTTCGGCATGATTAGTCCGCCGCCGGGCAGTGGACCCTATGGCGGATCATCGGCGGCAGCGGCAGCGGCGGCGGCGGCTGCGAGCGGTTCGCGGGTGGGAAATAGCACGAGTTCGCTGCGCGGTGCCGGCGGTCGCTCGGGATTGTACTACTCACCGCCGGGCACCTCCTACACGATCATCGAGCGCCCCCACTCGCCGCACTACTACTTCAACTCGGCGGGCGTGCCCACCAAGGGCGGTTCGCTGCCGGGGCGTGGCAGCGCCTATCTCAGCTCCTCACCCGCCAGCCACATGGCCGCCGGCACGGCGGGAACGTTGCCCACCTCGACGGCCGCAAGCGGGCGATCGATGGGCGGCCAGCATGCCAGCAGCAATGGGAACAAGAAGCGGCCCATCTCGCCGGAGCAGGTGCTGCGCATGTTCGGCGCCACCCAGTCGTCATCAGTTCCTACGAGTAGCTACCACTACAGCAACGGCGGCACGCGGGATCGGGATCGCACCGGCAGGCGCAGCCCCGCCAGCAGTCCGCCCTCCACCACCCACCAGGTGAGTTCTTCTTGGAACACTATTTTAATAACTACACAAAAGAATTAATCTCTAATAGAAAGATACAAGCCAGGGTTGATATGGGCTTCAAAAAAAAAAAAAAATAAATGAAATTGATTAAGAAATTAATTCTTATAATATAAAAAGAACGATCTTTTTGGAGCATTTTTAACTTTATCAGCTAAACATTAAATACACGTTTGGTTCAAGCAAAATATATCGAAACTATTTTATTGATATTATTTTATAAGTATTGACAACTAATTCAAAATCAATTAATATTTCCAATTAAATTATTGAATGAGAAGTAATTAAAATATGTTTGGTCGTTGTTAAATATGTAGTTATGAATTCATGAATGTTTTTCTAACGTATCTTCCTGTATTACAGATTTATCGGGATCGGGAGCGGGAAAGGGATCGCAGTGTCCCGAATATCCACGAACTTACCACGCGAACCGTTTCCATGTCGCGCGACCAGCAAATCGATCATGGTTTCGGCATTTGCGTCAAAGGAGGAAAAGACTCAGGTGAGTAATGGGTTTAAATAAAGCATATTTTAATGATTAAAATTAATTTGAACTAGATTTCCTAAAGAACACTATTTTTAATTCATTGCCTTGCTCTAATTATTCAATTAATTTCGTGCATTTAAACGGGATAACGTTTCGTATACGTGATTTTAATAGTTTCATAGTTCGTGGAATTTTAAATGAAAATATAATTTATCAAACACCTAACTCAAACCTTTAACGGAAAATATGTTGATCCGATAAACTCCAATTCGTTTAACGTAGCAAAAGTAGTCTTGTACGTGTTTTCCGGAATCGATTCCTGTTGCCAAAAATGTTTTAAAACCAAACACACCTGAAACGGAAAATTGTAGCTTAGATATTCTGCTGTTAGTGCATCTTAAAACTACAGTTTTACGGTAAGGCCTCAAGAAGTGAAACTGTGCTACACTTTTTATGCATTTTTGTGCTCGTGGGCCACGCCCCTTGCTGTTTGATTCGATGTCACGCCCAGTCGGTTAAGTGTTGGTTCTCCTGACTTCCTTTTGGCATGGGAAGTAGGAGCTCCTCCTCTACTTGCAATTTAGTTTTCAATTTCGTTTTATTGTACGGGGTCTGTTTGAGCCAGGTGTCCGTCCACGAGAAACGAGTAACCAACCACGTGTATTGGCGTGCATGTTTGTGTGTGACAAACCGCCAGCAGCTTTGACATTTCCAAGTGCATTTTGCACCTGACTACCTTTTTGGCTAACCAGCTCTTCCTGTCCCTCTTACTCTCTTACCCATTCCCCTTTCCCCTGTTCCTCTGTCTCTGTCCATCCTTCATTCCCATTTCCTGCCGTAGAATTTATTTTTAGTTTGCAATATGCGGACGGCTTTAAAATCGATAAAAATCTATTTAAGTTGCCCCCGTATGCAGGCTTCTATTTTTCCCCCTCTCACCTCTTCAGCTTTTCCTTCGCTTTCCTCGCCGCCATTGTGCACACTTACACAGTAACACACACACATACACGTACACACGTGCTTTATAAATTAAACATAAAATGGCTGCCGCACTCCATCCTCAATCCACAGCAAAATGGCTGTGCTTAATGAAAAAAACATCGAAAAAAAAGCACACAGGAGCAAAGAAGAAAGGGGTCTGGGTAATTTTGCATGGGGAGTGGGCAGATCTTTTATTAAAAATTGAGTGTGTAGGCAAGCTGGCTAATTGATTTCCCATCCTGTGTTTTTTTCTTTTTGATTTTGGTTTTGTTTACAGGCTTAGGCGTCTACATCTCACGCATCGAGGAAAATTCGGTGGCCGAACGCGCCGGTTTGCGACCCGGTGATACAATCCTAGAGGTGAATGGCACCCCCTTCACCTCAATCAATCACGAGGAGGCGCTGAAGGTGAGCATCTCTCAAAATATTTACGCTCGCATAAATATTTATATCTCTTTGATCTTTATTAAATATTTTGTAGTAGCTAATGTTATTTATACTTAGACAAAAATCGATTGAAGCATACAGCAATGTGTTTTGGGGGGGAATGATACGCACCATAAATAAATGTTTATCGGTTATTAAAAATTACGGTCTTCTACCTGGAAAATGTGATAAAAATACAGTTTATTATAAAGCTTGTAACGGCGCCTGTAGCGACCAGATAGTTTAGTTCGGCCTAGAAGCATGCTTTAAAATATATCTAAGCTCGGCTTAGTGTCTTAGCTAATTACACATATGTTTGATAAATCAGCTGTAACAGAGATGCAGTGGGAAGCTCGTTTTAGACATCTGGTGTTATCATCTGTGGCGAACTTCCGACCATACCCTAGCCTAACACTACCTATATTTGGTAAGGTTCTTTTCTGATTGACATCCGATATGAGCAGACGTGCCAATTTTTCTCAACGTCAACAAAGTTTTGTTTAAATACTATATATTGAAATCGTGGAAAATAATAAGAGGAATAAGTGCAGCGAGCCTAGCTGAGTAATATTTTTGTGATTAATTTTGGAAAACTATTGAGATGTAAGTGGTGGAAGTAGATTTTTTATCAATTCTAACCCCAGATTTTCTTTAGATATATATGATATATATATTTCTCACGTGGCCATCAATACTGGCATCCGTGGGAGCTCCCCTTCAAGACAGTGGGGGGCATGATTTAATATCGTGCCCCAAATTAAATCGGACAAGAAAAATGAGGAGTTTCAACTGGAATTAAATTCAAGAATGCGGCATTAAAGAAGTGATTTGGAGAGATGTTTAACCCTCTCTACCCACGGCAGCAGCAGCAGCAGATTTAGTATAGCCAAATATGGACACAAAAGGGAATGTATAACCTGGAATTTCTTTTAAGCCGCTACTGCGATTTTTTTAAAGTGAAATATTATAATTAAAAATTTGAAAGTTTTGAAACGTGCCAAAGTGAAGAAAATTTAATGAATCAAAGATAGCAACATGCCGTAAAAATCAAGTTTAAGTGATATTTTCTAAAGTCTGAATGATTCAGTCTAAAACGTAATATTTAAATTAAATTAAATTTAAAACTTAATTTTTCACGAGTGGAGTTATTTACGCATCGATTTTGTTTTGGAAAATTCGCTCAACTATGACTTAAAAGCGATAAATTAAATATTTATTTTTTTTTGTAAATTTAAATATAATTTGAAAATAGCAACTTCTGATAAGAAACAATAGTGAATATTAAATTTAAAAATGTGGTTAAGTGAAGATATCACAGTCGCTTCTCAGTAAAATATGTAGGCCTAAAAGGGTTCCAAGTTAAAAGATTTTTATAGAATAGTTTTGTGTTTTCGAGCCCCAATTTCACCCTTTACAGCCACCTGCCCGGGAGATCGATCTTTCGCCGCTGGAACAACGTATAAGCTGTGAGTTTATTATTCTCATTATTGCATTTATATCTATTCTATTTATATCTTATTGCGAAATACTCTATGAAATAATTTTTAACAATCTACTTGAATGAAACTGTGAATTTAAAAGAACCCTGAACCGATAGCCTCACTAAACTAAATTAAATTAAACAAAAAGATATCAAACAGAATGAAGATGATTTAGTGAAATAAAAAAATAAATTAAAGCAATGAAATTTAAATATCTATTGTTATACCAGAGTAATATTTTTTATTGGTGAAGTACGATATCTGAATACCCTATATTTTTCTTATTTCTTATCTTTTTAAATATATACGAACATTATAACTACTTTAATTTATGAGGATAACATCATTCAAATATTTAAGTATCTAAATAGTATTTTTATCGCCTGTATATCATTTATTATATTTATATAAAATTTGTAGTATCTACCTGTTAGCAAATAACAATAATGAATTCTTGTATAACTATTAATTAAATTGTATTTGAAATGAATTTCGAGTAGTTCACGTTTTTTTTAACTCGGCTGATGCTTCCACAATCGTAGGGTATTAGGGGTCACCGGAGTTTAGCTCTGAAGGATGGTGATCATAGGTAGGGTGGGCATTTCGCGACCACGACAACATCTGTGGCATCGCTGATTCTAACTTTTCTCGATCTTTTCTATCTCTTGTTTTTTTTGAATTTTATCTATTTCTCTTCTGATTTTGATATCTCGCATTTATTTTCGTCAGCACACTCAATTCTGGTCTTAAAAATAATAATATGTAGCTAGTGTGCGGATTTGTCTAAGCAAGACCTCCACCCCCAAAGCAGACGAGCGAGAGCCGGACCCTATAGTGTGCACCCGCAAGGACAGATCCTAGAACTCACCACAGAATACCTTCGTTACACGCTACAGTTATAATATCATTATTATTATTATTATTATTATTAAGTAAGGTGGCGCCCAACGTGTGGGGCCTTAGTGAGTACAGTATTACCTCATTAAGACTCACCGATAGATAAATTCAATCTCTTTTCTTTCTTTCATTTATTTCAACTTTAACTTCTGATCAAAATCTCTTATGTTGATTTTTATTTATTATGGATAACAGAGCAAGTGAACATTAGTTTCCGTCTGGCCTTAATTAAAAGTCCGTGTAAGAATTTTCCTTCCTTTTGTATGTGATGATAAGGAAAACTTAGTCTGAGGAAAATACAGAGAGTATCAAATTGCGATTGATCTTCTGGCCCTTGCTGGTTTACCAAATCACTACAATATTCACACTTACTTAAATAAATGCTTTCTTCAAGCTTAGGCGTTTCGGAAAATAGAGGCATTGTTTTACTGAAGTGCCCTATCCACGGTTGACTTTTAGAAAGAATTATTTATAATTTTTTTCTTAGAGGAATTAGACTTATGTGAGTTGAGACTGGAACATAAGAACTTTTTTTTTAAGAATAACTTATCCGTTTCATATTTATTAAAGCCTAATTACTTCCCTTATTGAATTTTCTTGTAGTAAGAAAGGCAAGAAATTCACTTCATCTGTATTCTTTTCTTCTTTCCTGAGAAATGTTAGTAGTAAATAAAATTTTTATCCTACGAGTTGTGGACATCAAGCTAGAGTTAAAGCTTTATCTTTATTATTATAACCACAGTTTATATCGTGAGAGTTACCGATTGTTGTTGAAATCATTTGATATTAATGATACAACATTTTTTTTTTATCTTTTTATTTCTTTTTTGAGCTGTTGTTGAAATCATTTGGTATTAATGATACAACATTTTGGTTTTAAATTATTTTGGTTTTGAGCTGTTGTTTAAATCTTTGGTAATTAAGGATACAACATTTTGTTTTTTTTGCTTTTGTTATATTTTTTATAAATTTTTAAAATGGGACTAGACCGTTCTCCAGGAAAAGCATCGCAAGGAGGTGCAAAGCCAGTCTGTCCGTTATGTAAAGCAGATATTAAGGCAGCAACCGATTTATTTGAAACTGTATGCCATCACGAATTTCACAAGAAATGTATTGAGGCACATTTGAAGAAAAGTGAAAGCTGTCCAGTATGCAGAATTTCTTGCAGGCCAGTAGCCGAGAGTAAAGGTTTACAAACGCGATCCCAATCTAAAACACGTGGCACAGAAAGTATTCATGATAGAAATATATCTGAAAACGTCCCTGGTACGTCAGGAGGCGCTCATAGTAGTAGCAGTAGGGATGTAGATCCAGCTAATGTTGCTAATGCAATGACGTTACTCTCAATGGAGCGAAGACTGCTCACAGTGTTGTCAGAGAAACTGGCTGAGTTAATCCCAACTTCAGTTAGTGACAGTATTCAGAGCTTAATCTCCCCTCCATCTAGCTCCAATGCGAATGACAGAGATAGGTCAGCTACTCCACCACCCTTAGACCGACCAATTTCTGGCAATGAACATATCCAAAACACAAATTTTGTCGCGCCTAACTTAGGTTCTCCAAGTTCTCATAGAAGTATCCCTTCTGATCTCTTAAATAGACCCGACAAGGTCGTGCATATCCTGAATGGATGGAAGATAAAATATTCCGGATCAGGTGTATCGATAGACAATTTTATTTACAGAGTCGAAGCGCTGACGCATCAGACACTTGAAGGCAACTTCTCAGTGCTTTGCAGAAATGCTAGCGTCTTATTCGAGGGCAAAGCCAACGAATTTTATTGGCGTTACCATAAATCGGTAACCGAAGTACGTTGGGATAGATTATGTTCTGCCTTGCGATTGCAATTTCGTCAAAAAAGGGACGATATTGATGTAGAAGAGTTAATCAGAAACAGAAAACAAAAGCCCAATGAATCTTTTGATAGTTTTTACGATAGTGTAAACGTATTAGTCGATCAGTTAGAAGTACCATGGTCGCCGAGAAAACTTGTCCGAATTCTCAAAAACAATTTGAGACCCGAAATACGCCATGAATTGTTGAATGTTGACATTTCTTCAGTATCTGAGTTGAGAGAAACTTGTCGTCGACGCGAAGCTTTTCTAGACGATGTCAAACGCTCTCACGGATACAGTAAAAACACACCGTTTAGACGAGAAGTCTCAGAGCTTATTCAAGAGCCAGATTCTCAGAATGGGTCCGAATCCGAAAGTGAATTAGAGGTGGACGCATTTTCCTTGGTATGCTGGAATTGCCGCAAAGAAGGGCACAGATACCAAGATTGCTTATCAGAGAAGCGCGTATTTTGTTACGGTTGCGGAACCGCTAACACCTATAAGCCAAACTGCGTTAAGTGCTCAAAAAACTTAAAGCCCGGCAGTTCGAAGTCGCAGTTCAAACCGAAGACTTTGAATGCCTCTCGTCACCAATCAACTATGACCGATCAGATGTGAATGCACCATTAGTCGCATCACCAACTTCCCCGGACGTATCAAAAAGCAATGTCGGCTCTCTACTGCATTGTAAACTTAAAAAGTTACCTCAGATTTTAACTCCTACTGTGTTTTCTGAACATCTCTTAGAAATCCGTAAGTCTCGCAGCGC